TTAACCAGATTTAAGTATAAGAGTATATATAGACCAGAATAAATGGTACATATTATGAGCTTCCAACTAATTATACAGTCACGTTGTAGCAGAATCAATTACTTCTACAGTTATTGGTATTGTTATTGGTTAAATTAGTATTAAGGAAAACAAATAACTAATAGTATAACAGATAATCAGGAGAACAAACTGTATTGTCAAATATGATAGTAGATAAAAGAAGTTCAAGACCTTGACAGTAATAGAAGAGGCATGCTATACCTAGCCTGTAGAATATGTTTAGTAAGTTGTTCTTTGTAATTCAGGAATGGAAAATATGATTACAAAGGAAACTAATCAGAACTTATAATATAACAGGTAAGATATCAATAGCAGCCATCAATACTATAAGTACAAGTGGCCAGAGAGAACTCAGTAGTTCCAATAATAAAAGAGGCAGATACAGTAGCAAGAGGAGTAGGAATAGTACTATCTGATATTAATCAGAAAGCTTCTATTATAGAAGTATCAGGACAAGTGGGATTAATACTACTTCCAAACAATGATTTTGTAGACAAGAGAGTTCAATAACCAGTCTATCATTTGAGAATGATAAATATCAGGTGTATAAAATTTAATACTCTATACCAGGCTTCTGAGTTACTAGATAGAAAATCTCAGAATAAAATAACAACCTTTCAGTTCTACTACAAGTATAGTAATGTCCAGATTAAGAGATTTAGAAAACTACCAGAGCTCCAAAATAGCTTGATAAATAGAGTGGATACTAAGTCAAGGCAATTCCATGAGAAAAATTCTGCAAAATACCTTGTATTCTCAAAATTACCTTATGATCCAGCCTATGCTGTACAAGCAAGATTATTCTAAATACCAAAATTCAATACTACTCTTGTATATAATTGAACTATGATTCTTCAAGAGCCATATCTATATCTACCACTCTACCTATCAGTAAATGTATAGGAAAGATTTGTACGATTCTTTGGCAGCTCTATATAGTCTTATTATAGGTTCAATCTTCAAATAGACTAACTCTGTCACCTTTAGAAAGTGCTTCTAGATATAAAAATAATATAGTCTTTCCTGAAGTTCTTCTTTAATTCTTATTTTTTATCTTATAACTCTTTTGTTTCTGTTTTCTAACTTTCCTTTTATTTTATTTGTCAATATATCTTTATTTATATAGTTAAATAATTTATATATAGAATCTGTCAGCAGATTGGTTTTCTCTGGCCTTCATGATTTAATTATTACCAAATATTCTTACTTCTCACTTCTGTTTTTCCTCTTATATGTGAAACTAACTAATCTGAACTACTGTTTTACTTTACATACTAATTGGTACCTGAGTTTATAGAGTCTTTTAGGTTTCTGATTAGTAGTTTGAAGTTCTCCTATGATTATACTTTATTCTTCCAATAACAATATGAGGTAATACTAGAACTATTATAATAATATCAAGTCCTTGGTTCTTTACCATAAATGTTTTTACCAGCTGATTGAGATCTATATTTTTATAGAACTCTATCTAGCTATAGACACTCCTCGAGTATCGAGGGGGGGACTGCTAGTACCTTCATACTACAATCTTCCTCGCTTAGTGTGCCTGCCATATACACGTCATACTGCATTGTATTCTTGTACAAAGTTATCAAGATTGTCCTGTACCATACATTTTGAACAACCAGAGTGGTGTTTGGCAGACCATGTGTTGAGATGACCGTGTGTTCTACACACCTGTTGCACCGGTTATCCTGCCCAGAATTTTGCTCAAGATCACATTTAACATGCTTTAACATCATGAAACATACTCTAGTAACACCTTTTGTCGGGAAACACCATGCGTAGAACACATGGTCCGCCAAGCAGCCCCTAGCATTACCGCCGTCTCGGAACGCGGGCGAACCGATTGGTGCTCAAAAGGGTTGACTTGGGGTGCGTCTGTCTGACTGCCTGGCGAACCCTCCAGGTAGAGGGTTGCATGGTTCAATTGGAATTTAGGACTCCCGATTTCCGGCTCCTATCTCGCCTTTTTTATACATTAGCCAGGTGGGATGATCGCATTAACTTGTGTTAACGCTACCGAGATCTCTCGGCGCAGATCTGCTAATGGCTGCTGTTCTAGAGCTCGGCGCGAAAGCCTTATATCGATATAGTCTAGAGCGCCCTGTCTGGGTTATCAAGAAAAAACAAAAAACCTACAACAATCTAGGTGCCGGAGGGGGTCTCAAAGTGAAGATATCGAAAGAAAGCAGTGATATCATCCAGTATTTTTGTTATTATTTATATTTCGCAAAACCGTAAAACGAAAACCCCTTGAGTGACATTTAGGAAATGGGGGGATTTTTTTTTCCTTGACGGCCAGACGGACTTCTTGGGCATTGTATCACATCTCGATATTGCAACCACTGCACCAGCAACAGATAGCCTTCTGTGAACTTCAAGGTTTGGGAAAACCCAAGACAGGACGCGCCCCCATTCAGCGTAGGTATTTTTCTCGCTGATCAGGGCTGTTCTGACATGATCCGAACTCAGATCCCATGACTTGGCAGGCGAACTGCGCACCTGCAAAAACCCCATAGAGGCAATTGTTTACGTGCCGTTCTAGTGCACAGGTCGTTGCACGTTTCTAGACTGAGGCTTTGACTGCTCGATATTATGACGAAAGTTGTTTGCCTCCAAAATTTTCGAGGCAGGAGGGTCTCCGCGGTTGGAGGACCTGCCACTAGGTGACTAACTTAGTCCCTTGGTGTTTGGACAGCAATTGAGATCCCTCGGGTATCCTATGATAATAATATTATATACTTTTATTAGTCTCCTATATCCTGAATTTTTCAAGTATTCAATCCCTGTGCAAGCCGGGGCCTTTGACCTGAAAGAATGCCCACCACTCCACCCCCACCTCCACCCCGCAATCCTGCGGGGATGAAGGTCTATACGCTCAGGAAAATAATTTTTTAAAGGCCCTCTGTTCAATTCACTCTGATTCCAGATCTATTGCTACAATCTTAATTCAGATACGCTTAATTACTTCAAGATTCATATATTCCCACGAGTTCGTGTGGCGGTTGCATACCAGATTTAACAACCCCCTCCCCACCCCTACCCCACCTGGCGTGATAAATCCCCACATAAAAACTTTTAAGCTTATATCTACCGAAACGGGAAAACACGGAAAACGAAATCCCATGACCTGAGAGATCCGATCTGACCCGCTGGACTCCCTCCCCACTCCCGCCCTATCATCCCCTTTTGCCTGTCAGCAACGAAGCATGGCCGGAACGCAGGGCGGAATGGGTAGAAGGTAAAACGAAAAGTGGGAAAAACAAATGCAACAATTATCTCTGGTGGTGTAGGATACAGAAGAATGCTGGATGTGAGATCTCCAAGTTACCCTGAAGTGGATCCATTGGGCTGTAGGCGCAAGGCTAGTGGCAGAAGCAAATTTTTTTTAATTCTCATGAGATGCACAACACTTGATTATTGTCCCCCCTCCCACCTCTCCTCCGAAAAACGTGTATGATGCTGCCCGGTCCGATGAGCTCCTGCCACAACACCCGGAGGAGAGGGAAAAAGGAAACTGCAGTGGGCAAAAAGAAATACCGGTAGTGAGCAAGCGCCTCCAGGAGCGAGCGGTGGCGCTCGAGGTCTCGAATGAGGCCTTGCCGGTTAACTTACTAACGCCATGACCTCGATATGATACATGATGGGAATCGTTTTCCTAACTACCGGTATATGGTGTGGGAACTCTGTACTCGTACTCTGAACACTAAGCGAGGTGCTCGGGGGTAGAAAGTCAAAACCTCAAGGCACATCAACAACAACATCTTAGAGAAAAATAAGTCTATTAGGCGATAGAATGGCCTATTGGCTTTAAACTAATAGAGAGAAAATCAAGATACCTTTTGATTTGGTGGAGTTATTAGAGTATAAAGGGGATTGAATTTTAGGTGGGGCCAGTCGCGTGAAAAAAGTTTGTGGACACGACCGTCTTGGCACACCCCGACACATGCCCGAACCTATGTACACCACCTGATATTGCTAGAATCATAATAGTGAGAGAAATAAAACAAGTATAATAGAAAAGCAAAGTACAATCTGCATAGACTACCATCGTGTAACGCCTCCTCCAGACCATGCCAATGCTGAGATTCGGTTTGGCATTTTGTTAATCCATTTTGACATCAATTGCCATGGTACATCCTCCCACAGCCCTTGAGCAATCTCGATGATCTCTTCCTGTCCATAGGGACGTTTATTAGGATCCCTCATAGCCCTCCTGAACTTGGCTTTCCATACTGCCCAAACATTCTCGATGGGATTCATGTCTGGGGAGTGTGGAGGCCAATCCATCCTTTTTATCCCATTAAGAAAGCGAAACTTCCTGGTATACTGTGAGGTATGATAACTTGCACCGTCCTCAATGGTCTGAACACCATTATCAAGACCTCCCATATGCTCATAGAGTGGTAAGAGGTGGGGGACCATGATTTCATTCACATATTGAACTGAATTTAGTCCCCCTCGATCGCTTTTGCTTGTTTTCTTCTTTTCGGTTCCTTTCTGTATTGGAACAAGCTTCGTATGTCCAATTGCAGAGAATACAGCAAAGAACATGATCGTGACTGGCTCTCCAACAAAAGTTGGAGCCAGATATCGTTCCTCGGGGGCAGTACCGGGTGGGTGACGAACTGTAGGACGGAGGTGTCATGGACCGATTTGGAGGTAAACCTCGTTGGTGAAAATATGCTGCTTCCACCAGGTACCTGAGCAGTGGCGATGGAGGAGGGCAAATTGATGTCGTAGAGAGCGATTTTTAGGACTTAACCAAGGTTTGCAATGGCGGACTCGGACTCACAGGTTTTGGCGTTGTAGGGAGTCTCCTACTGTACGTTCAGAGACATCAAGGTCTAAGGAGCTTGTAATATCGTGCAATGTTGCATAGGGGTCTCGCATTGAGGTAATCTTCAGGTACCTCTCGTCGCTCAAGGACAATTTTCTTGGAGCCCCAGACCGTGGTGCGGGGTCTATTTTGTGATCCTCTTGCCAGGAGGTCACGATCTTGTGAGCTGCGCTTTTTGAAACATCAAGTTCCTCAGCAATTTTGCGATAAGATTCGCCAGCAGTATGCCGCTCGATCATGGATATGCGATCCTTGCGATCAATCTCGCTGTTTTTCTCGCGCTTGGATTTTAGCATCATGTGGTTGTTACTGTTAAGAATCCTGCCGAGCGAGTAGTTAGTACGACAGGCAACGATACTTACTATGTGCGAGGTAATAGTTCTTAGGCCTATGCCTACGCGATATTGATAGGTAAGTCCTTTGACTTCTATCCTATCGCACCTATTCCTCTATTCTTCTCAAGTCCTCGCTTAGGACTTATCCTGTTCAATCGTGGGACGAGAAATAGTTTTCTCGTGTGGGAGGAAAGACAATTCTTGGGTTGCTTAAGATAAATCTCAAAGAGCATAAAGGTAGGTATTATTGCTAATAACTTAAAGGTAGGAAATAAATAAGAAGAACGTGTGAAGAGCTAATACTAGGGGTCCTTAGTGACCCTTTATATAGTAGCTCTTCACCTGGCATGACTCATACTTATGTGTCACACAAACCTTATGACTCATAACTATGAGTCATGTGAAATCCATCAGCCGACTCCCATGAGTCGCTGCGCAACGTACCTAAAACCAATTAAAACATAATAACCAAGTCAGGTGCGCAACTCGCATCACCTGAGTAAAACCCATGACTCACAATTTGAGTCATGTGTGAAAATCATAACATCATGTGACTCACAATTGTGAGTCACGAACAGGTAAACGTAATAACCTATGGCACACTAGTGCGCGTCATGTGAAATCCCAACATACATATAGCTCGGAATTCTGAGCTATGTAAAATCTACCTTGCTTTGTCACCGTTTATGACATTAGCTCTCCTCTCCCTCAGCCCGAGTCCCATTGGGCTTATATCAGTCTGTCCTCCAATCCCCATGCCCTCGCCGGTAGTCCCCACTGGGCTTCCTTGTTTAACCAAGTGCTGACTTTCCTTACCTTCATCAGGGCCTTCTCCGCCTCCTTCTCTTCCCTTCTCCAGTCGTTTTGGAGTGCCTTCCTTATCCTCGTCTCTTCCCTCAACTCGCTCTGGAGTTGTCCTATTTTTTCTGCCTGCCATTCCAACATCTTTTTCGTCTCCTCCACCTCCACCAACAATTTCATTATCCTTGTTTCTGGTTTCTCCTTTTCCATCCCTTCTTCCCAGGAGATGTGCCTCGTCTTCCTGGGCTTTACACATTTTTGTTTTTTCGCCCCCCTCCTCTTCGACTCCATCCTCGAAGTCAGCTTGATGTATTGTACCAGAGCCACTGGCTCTGGTGTCAGGGATCCCGTAGATGATCCCGGGGGTGAAGTCTTGGGTGGTCATCGGTTCGCTTCCCGAGGCCAATATCCCGAGCCTTCCTTCTCACTTCTGCGCACATGGCACTCGTCGTTGTAGCATCCTGTCCATGACAGGTTCGCGTGTTCCCTTTCGGGAGTTGGGGTTTTCGACAGGGGTAAATCTACCAACTTCACGCAGTCTTCGTCTGTGGGTTCCTCCTTGACTGGTGTTGGGTTTCGATACCCCGGGCTGGTTGGTGTAATATGTTTGAACGCGTCGCGTTCAGGAACGTTCTGTAGGGCCGACGGCTTCGTCATTGCGCCTCTTTCTTGGGGGTATTCCCAATGGTAGGAGTCTGTTCTGTATACTGTCGGCGTGACATGCCCTGATTCGGGTGTGTCCTCGACTGTTGGCTGTTGGTTTGTGTAGGTATCATTGATGGAATTGGTGGACTGCATTTTGCGCGTGTTCGAAGTTCTCGGCTGGGTACCAAGTTTTATCATGTTCGGGAGAATATGCAGTCTACTTTGCTTTGTATTGCAAGCGACTATAGTGTAATCGAGAGTCGATGATTTCTTCGAGTTCGTATTCTGATTTACCGTCTATTTCGATAGGCGGTGGTGGTAATCTTTCTTGAGAAGGTAGGGGATTGTCTTGATAGGATTCAAGGAGGCTGATGTGGAAGGTATTGTGTATTTTCATGGTCAGCGGGAGGTCGAGCTTATAAGCGCGGCTCCCTATCTTTGCCAAGATTTTGAATGGTCCTATTTTCTTGTAATCCAATTTTTTCGTCGGTCATGTAGTTCTGATGTTGCGTGGTAGTAACCAAACCTGGTCTCCTGATCTTAGGTTTGGATCAGGTTTTCAGTGGCGATCGTATTCTTCCTTTTGTCGTAGTTGTGGCGTGACTATTTCCGTTCGTAATATGTTGTGGAGTTGACTCATGTCTTTCTTGTCCGTTATCTTTCCTTCGAGCATATGACTTATGGTCTCGTATTCTGGATGTAGGCCATAGTTTGCATAGAAGGGTGTTGTCTTAATTGTTTCTTGCTTTCCGTTATTATATGCGAATTCTGCTGTGGGTAGCTATTTGCCCCAATCATTTTATTGATAATTGACGTAGGCTCGTAGGCATTGTTCCAAGATGCCGTTTATCTGTTCTGTTTATCCATCCATCTGTGGGTGGAATGTCGTGCTCATGCGTCGTTCGATTCCAAGTTTTTCTATTATCTTTTTCCATACGTCCGATGTGAATAGTGATCCTCTATTACTGATGATATCTTTTAGGAGCCCGTGCAGTCGATATATTTCTTTCAGAAATAAATCTGCAAATTCGGTTGCCGTCATATCGTAACAGACAGGGTCTGAGAGTCAGGTAGCCCAAGGCACACTACAGCAGGGACAGGCGAGAGTTCAGAGGCGAGGTCTAGGTACGGGGGTACAACCGAAGCGAGTTGTATGAGGATCGGGGGTCAGGGGTTCAGGGTCAGGGTTCAGAGGTTCAGGAGGACGCGAAGTAGAACAGTGTAATTCCTAGGTACAGGTGCCCAAATTATATCTAAGTTTATTTATCCTAGTCGCGCCAAAACATGGCTTATGATCTAGCTAACATCCCTCATAACCCATAAATCATAACAAAATCACTACCACGGCAGACCGTCTCGCAACCCTCCTCCCAAAC